CATAAATGCAAAGTCACGTATATACACATGATTTTACGCAGCCCTGCCGCCCTGTAGCAGTATTTCTGCTATAGGGCGGAGGGGAAGCGCGTAATTCGGTCTCAGCTCTCTCCCACAGTCACATCTCGGTATAATTGTTTTTTGTGCTTAAACAGGTTTTCCAGAATATCTTTTGCATATTAAATGATCAGAAAATACACAAAAACAACAATTTTTCATGATAGACAGAGGGGAAGAAAGCATTTCCATACCTGGCTTCCATGACACTGGCTGGAATCTTGCCGGTATTCTCAAATATCTTTACAGCTTTCTCTACATCTTGTTGTGCCGGAGACTGCGGCTGCACCGGAGGAAAGGAATCAATAACCTGCGCTGCAGCTAAACAATAAACCACACAACGTGGCACAACGTCTGCAATGTGGTTGCTACAGAGCTTAGTAAATGAGGTGAAGCTTCCCTTTGCCAAGAAAACCCAATCACGTGCAAGGAAAATGGAAAAAAAAAAAAAAAAAAAAAAAGCATTCTGCTTGCACATGATTGGACGATGGAAGTCAGCAAAGCCTCCCGTCATTTACTGAGCTCTGGAGCAATGCACTTGCAAAGTGCGCAGACTAATTGCCTTTAGTAAATCACCCCAACGTCTTTTCTAAGCTTTATAGAGATGCGCTCACCTGCTGATTCAGGGAAAAGTGACATCGCCCTTCTGATAGGCCAACACTTTCGGCAAGGTCTACTCATCAATCCATGCAACTATGACACCAGCCTGCTGCAATGGGGCCCTGGGCTCCAGGTATTGGGAGCATGTGACCTTTCCCAATTGATCAAGTGTTCAGAACTGAGCAGCCAATAGCCAGGCCTGAATACAGTCATGGGAGGGCGAGAAGGAAGTGAAAGGATCCACCTGGGGAACCTACAGGGTGGACTCCTGCAGAGGGTGGCAGTGAGGGAGTATGGATCAGTTAGAACAGCCGGTAACAACCAGGGTGCCTTCTGGGCTCTTCAAAGGTGCCTTGACATAATTTATTCATTTTTATTTATTTCAGGTACTTATATAGCGCCATAAACTTACATATATATTGTACATTCACATCAGTCCCCGCCCCCAAGGAGCGTACAATCTAAGGTCCCTAGCTTACATTCATACATATCCATACTAAGTCCAATTTAGACAGGATCCAATTAACCTTCTAGGATTTTTTTGGAATGTGGGAGGAAACCAGAGTACCTGGAGGAAACCCACGCAAGCACAGGGAGAACATGCAAACTCCAGGCAGGTGGTGTCACTTTACATATATATTGTACATTCACACCAGTTCCCACCCCCGAGGAGTGTACAATCTAAGGTCCCTAACTTACATACATACATACACATAATAGGTCCAGAGCAGCCTGGATCCTCCTCTTCTCGGGAGCCCCCACAGAAAGTAGCTTCCTATGGGGGCACCCGGTGCTCCGTGTGTCCATTCACACACGGAGCTGTGGCTTGGGCCCGCCTTCTCACTCTCCATACTGGCTGTGATTGACAGCAGCAGGAGCCAATGGCTCCCGCTTGCTGTCTCAGCCAATGAGGAGGCAGAGACCCAGGACAGCTGAGGCTGTTGTTCACATCGTTGGATCAGGATGGGGCTCAGGTAAGTATTGGGGGGGCTGGGGGCACTGCTGCACACAGGAGGTTTGTTACCTTCATGTATAGAATGCACCTTCAGCCTTTACAACCACTTTAAGGCAACTCAGAAGGAACTCCAAAGTAACTCAAAATCACATAAAAAGGGTCTCATATGCAAGTCAGTGGCAACTGTACATACAACCCCCCCCCCCCACCCAACTCAACCCCCCCCACCCGAGGGGAGCTTTTCACACCTGATCTTTATCGGATCCGACTGCCAGGTCCTCATACAATCCCATGTCTTCAATAGAGACCTGGAAGAGAAGAATACATGCAGTAATGGCAGCCTGGCAGGAGAGAGTTCCTGAGTCTGGACACGCCAAGTATCGCACCTTCATGTCTGCAAGCCGGGTTTTGGCCAATGTAATATATTCCATCAACATAGAGCGGAACTTTGTGGGTACAAATGGCGAATGCAGGATATGGACCTGGAAAACATTTAGAGGGATTGGAAAATGTATCAATACAGGAAATCCATTTTAGATTCTGAGATTTTGCCAATAGAAGTGAAGGAGCACAGTACAATCAGTACCGCTGAAGACATCGCCGCTGTGAATTCCATACACGGGAATTGCGCAGTACAATCTGTATCAATCCACGCCAATGGTGACCCTCCCTTCCCGCAGACCTCGCCTCTCCTAGAACACGTTCCACCCATAAAACAGGAGCAATCATGGAGGAGAAGACAGGGAAGGGCGGAGGTACAATGTTACATCTGATCATTTGGCTTACCATGTAAAAATTGTTCCTCGATTGTTATACCTGCAACCGATAGATAAATATCTCCTACCCTCCCTGTCTCCTTATGCAGGCCATACACGGGTCGAAGTACGAATGCTTTTTCATCCGAAAATCGAAAACGTTGTTCGCTCAGTAATCCGGTGGCGCCATCAATGATTTCGAAAATCGGCCGACTAAGTCATAAAGTTCACCCCATATAACAGGCGAGACTTCTGTTCCTTCCAGGTCACGGCTCATGCGCAGGTTCTTTTCAGAAAAACTATCGTACGATGTGACCATCGAGTCGAAAATTGGTCGTTTTTTCACAAATTTTCCAACATGCCCGATCACTGAAAAGGGGGGGGAACCACGAAAATCGGCCGGTGCCATTGACCGAAAATCGGCCGATTATTCTTAGGTCTGACACACACACACACTGAAAGCAGACTTTGTAATCCGAATCTAGCATGAAGTCGATGAATCTCCAGGGATATTGATCCGGTCAGGTAAATAGCAGGGGGGTGTTCATCAGTTTCAGCTGCTTTGGTGGCAACAAAATTAACAACAGGTGCACTAGATGGGCAACAAGGAGATGACCCCCAAAACAGGAATGGTTTTAAAGGTGGAGGACACTGACATTTTTTTCCTACTCATCTTTTCTGACTGTTTTTCACTCGTTTTGCATTTGGCTCGGGTCAGTGTCACTACTGGTAGCATGAGGCCATACCTGGACCCTACAGAGGTTGCACAGTCAGTCCAACTCCTCCAGGATGGAACATCAATACCTGCCATTGCCAGAAGGTTTGCTGTGTCTCCCAGCACAGTCTCAAAAGCATGGAGGAGGAGGATTCCAGGAGACAAGAGCATGGAGGAGATTCCAGGAGACAAGAGCACGGAGGAGATTCCAGGAGACAAGAGCACAGAGGAGATTCCAGGAGACAAGAGCACGGAGGAGATTCCAGGAGACAAGAGCACGGAGGAGAGATTCCAGGAGACAAGAGCACGGAGGAGATTCCAGGAGACAAGAGCACGGAGGAGATTCCAGGAGACAAGAGCACGGAGGAGATTCCAGGAGACAAGAGCACGGAGGAGATTCCAGGAGACAAGAGCACGGAGGAGATTCCAGGAGACAAGAGCATGGAGGAGATTCCAGGAGACAAGAGCATGGAGGAGATTCCAGGAGACAGGCAGTTCCTCTAGGAGAGCTGGACAGGGCCGTAGAAGGTCCTTAACCCATCAGCAGGACCGGTATCTGCTCCTTTGTACAAGGAGGAACAGGATGAGCCCCGCCTCCTAGTGCAGTGGGCCCTGGGTTCCTCCTGGTGCAGTACGTCCTGGGTTCCTCCTGGTGCAGTGGGTCCTGGGTTCCTCCTGGTGCAGTGGGTCCTGGATTCTTCCTGACAATGCCTGGCCTCATAAGGGGAGAGTATGCAGGCAGTTCCTGGAGGATGAAGGAATTGATACCACTGAATGGCCCCCACACCCACCTGACCTAAATCCAATAGAACCCCTCTGGGATGTCATGTTGCGGTCCATCCGACGCCGCCATGTTGCACCGCAGACTGTCCAGGAGCTCAGTGATGTTCTGGTCCAGATCTGGGAGGAAATCCCCCAGGACACCATCCGTGGTCTCATCAGGAGCCTCCCCCGACGTTGTCAGGCATGCATACAAGCACGTGGGGGCCACACAGACTACTGAAGACCATTCTGAGTTGCTGCAATGACATTTCACCAAATGGATTCGCCTGCTGTATCATTTTGTCAATTTGATTTTCGGGGTGTCTGTGAATTCAGTCCTCTGTAGGTCGATCATTTCCATCAAACGATGGGGCGTCCTTACATTCCTCACCCATCCCCCGTCCATGTCAGTATAGAGATCCAGCAGGAGATTCCTCCCCATTGAGGTCTGATGGGTTTTCAAAGTCTCCCTTTCATTTTTTTTTGAGGTGTGTGTGTAAAAAACACATAAATACATAACATACATAACACGCATATATATACACACACACACACACATATATATATATATATATATACACACACACACACACATATATATATATATATATATACACACACACACATATATATATATATATATATACACACACACATACACACACACTTCTACATATGCGGGAAATGCTCACCTTTAGGTATTGTGGTGCTTCAAATGGGACCAAGTCAGAGAGGAACTTCAACAGGAAGACTAAAGACTTTTTGCTGGTGCTCTGGTGGGAGCTGGTGGATCCAAATGTGCCCTGGGAAACCAAAGAAAGCAAGTTACAACAGACAGCAGCCAATCCTACAACTCCACCACTTACAGGTCCCAATTCCTACTTTATCCCAATGTCACTTTTCTTTAGTTCTAAGATGAAGATCTCAGTCCCGCCAGCACCGGGGATTTGGTATAAGGTTCTAACCGCCACATTAAATGTTACTTCTGTCCCGGTAGATCAGCCAGGCACGGGGGTATTTCAGGGAATTCTCTGCCTGCTTCTGATCACGTCACTGTGGGATTTCATTGGTCCTTGTGTAGGTGATGGTTTGCCCGTCTCTTCTCTGTGCAGCAACTGAGATGGCTTTGGAAGGGAATGATTAAATTGCCCCCGCCATTAGACTGCAGAAACCAAGTCCACCCTCTACGCCCCGGTTCACATATATGCAGCCGCGTTTTCCGTGGGCACGAGAGCCTATTCATGTGAATGGACTCCCACACCCCGTGACACGCAGGGAAGGAGTCCCTGCACTTCTTTGGAAACCGCAGCCAAGGTTCCCAGTACATTTGCGATTTCCAGTGCAGGTGGCGTGCCGTTAGAACTCATGGCCCCCGCCCGCGGGTCCGCATTCCTCTGTGTGGGTGGTGCGGCTGCACGGATTTTTGTGCGGATCCATAGCGGCACCACCCGCACAGATGTGAACCGAGCCTAAGAGAAGAACAGAATAATTACATTTGCAGCAAGTGGAGAGGTAAATATTGGCTTTCTTCCTGCATCTTGTGGTGATGTAGGCGGGTGAGAGGAACCACACTGCACAGAGGGTGGTGCACTTTTCTACACACCCGGAAGTGTCAGAGAGCAGTGCTGGTCTTAGTGTCTGAAGAATGCCAAGATTCACCTTACCACCTGCTGGGTAAGTAAGCATTCCACTTTCTCATTTTCGGATCCTACGAAGACGTTCTAATCAGCATGTAATGATGCATTATGGGTAAGTGCAGCATGTCCTACTCAGCAGCATCTACGCTGTCCACCTCACGTCACAAGCAACTCAACCTGATTGAGGGCCAGTTCACACCACATGCAGTCCAGTGCATTTCATTCTGCATCAAAAATGCATGGATAGTGGGTTATATGGTTCCCAATGGCATAGTTCACACCAGTGCCATCAGTTTTGCAGTTTTTGTAGCTGCTGACTTTTTTTTTTTTTTGCAGCTGGAACTCCGCTTTAAGGATTTTTCCTACCAAATGTCCTCATTTCATCCTGTTTCTCTTCCTCAAAGTGTGTTGAGAAGGATGAGAATGCTGGGGGGTGAAGGAAGACAGCTGGTAAGTGTGGTGGGAATTTCTGCTTGTTTTTTTTTTATATACGTGTTGCCCTACTATATGCGATTTGCTGCAAAAGATAGTTATAGGTTGGAGTGGGTGCTGCTTTTTGTATAGTTGGTGAATTGGTGAGGGGAGGCACTGGATACCTTCAGCTGCCATTGTGTCCTTGCTGGGTGTCCCGTGCGTCCTTATATCTTTATGGAGGGATGGGCTCCCCCCAGACATACCTGCCCTCAATCTATCCATTATTATGTACAGTTGTGTTCAAATTAATATCAGTGTGATGAAAAAAGTGACTAAAGCTGAAAATCCTTCTAATCCTTTTATTTCCATCCACACAAATGCATTGGGAACACGACACATTCTATTCCAAATCACAACATGAAGAAAAATACATCAAATTTGTGTTGTTCCTCTAAAAAAATGGAAGAAAAGTGAATATTAGACGGTTCAAAAAAATGGCCGTGTTTGTATTCTTCTTTACAAACTCCAACATTCACTATATAAACTGAGAAATGTTTGAAGATTTTGCTTTCCTTTGAATGACTTCATGAATATTTGGTTGTAGTCGCACTGTTTCTGAGAACTGCTGTACATCTGTGTTGCATGGAGTCCCCCAACTTCTGGCCCCTGTGATCAGGTATTCCAGCCCAGGATGATTGGACCACATTCCACAGTTCTTCTCCATTTCTTGGTTTGGCCTCAGAAACGGCATTTTTGGTGTCACCCCACAAGTTTTCTATTGGATGAAGATCCGGGGATTGGGCTGGGCTGGCCACTCCATAACGTCCATCTTGTTGGTCTGGAACCAAGATGTTGCACGTTTACTGGTGTGTTTTGGGGTCGTTGTCTTGTTGGAACACCCATTTCAAGGGCATTTCCTCTTCAGCATAAGGCAGCATGACCTCTTCAAGTATTCTGATGGATTCAAACTGATCCATGATCCCTGGTATGCGATAAATAGGCCCAACACCGTAGTATGAGAAACATCCCCATATCATGATGCTTGCACCACCATGCTTCACGGTCTTCACAGTGTACTGTGGCTTGAATTCAGTGTTTGGGGGTCGTCTGACAAACTGTCTCCGCCCACTAGACCCAAAAAGAACAATCTTACTTTCATCCGTCCACAAAATGTTGCGCCATTTCTCTTTAGGCCGGTCAATGTGCTCTTTGGCAGATTGTAACCTCTTCAGCACACGTCTTTTTCCCAACAGTGGGACTTTGCGGGGACTTCTTGCAGATAGCTTGGCTTCACATCAGCGTCTTCTAATTGTAACAGTCCTCACAGGGAACGTCACACCTTCTTTCATCTTCCTGGAGCTGATTGTTGGCTGAGTCCTCACAGGGAACGTCACACCTTCTTTCATCTTCCTGGAGCTGATTGTTGGCTGAGTCCGCGCCATTTTGGCTATTCTTCTATCCATTCCAATGGTAGTTTTTCGCTTTCTTCCACGTCTTTCAGGTTTTGGTTGCCATTTTAAAGCATTTGCCATCATTTTAGCTGAGCAGCCGATCATTTTCTGCACTTCTTTATATGTTTTCCCCCTCCAATCAACTTTTGAATCACGGTACGCTGTTCTTCTGAACAATGTCTGGAACCACCCATTTTCCTCAGAATTTCAGAGAGAAATGCACTGTAACCAGCATGTCCAACATTTGCTGCCTTCCTTCCTTAAATAAGGGCAATAATTGCCACCTGTTTGTCAAAGAATGAATGACGTCACTAATAGAAACTCCACACGGCTATTATTGTGAACACGCCCCTTTCAATGAGTGATTCAATGACACAGAATCAGCAGCATGCATGTCATGACTGTTGGGTCTGTTGGATTTCTATGACTCTACTACACCTGCTAGGAAGTTATTTGCCATGTAGAAATATCATTTCCACCAAACACAGTGATTGATCCGGTTAGTAATGTCTGACGGCTAGTATTTTCAACACACCTGTATATGGGGATCACACCTGGGAGACACACAATGTCAGGACTGCAGTACAATGCGGTGCCTTGACGTGGCCGCTGCGGCTTACACATATATTTGCAAGCGTGTGCTTTGTTTTTGATGTGAACTGACAATTCAGTCTGGGTTCAGGCTGGCTGCTAAGTGAGCTGGGAATTGTTTGTTTTTGAAGGGTTTGCAATATGATAAACGAACCCCATAAAAGACAGCAGAGACAGAGGACATATTTGGAACACATTAAATAACTAAGGGCCTCAGGTAAGATGGCCGTTGATGAGACTGTCTGACCTTGAACCAGTTCTTGTACGACATAAATGCAGCGGGACCCTCTAGAGCCGCTTGACGTGCGATGAGGAAGGCAGTGATGAGATACTCCAGCTCATAGGTCTCAAAGGCCTGACACAGGAGACGGCTCAACAGATCTGCAGCAAGACAAGAACTATTGTGACTGAACTGGACATGTGAACCCGTTCTAAACAAAGCCGTGCAGAAAACAATGAAGATATACAAAGTGGTGTCAAAACGTTTTCCAGACCAGTTTTGTAACAAGGCTGCACGCACAGTCACAGGGAGCACCGTCAGTATTTCACCCGTTTAGATTTACTAAAATAAATGCATTTCCATGTTCTGTATACTGTGGAAGACCAGACATAGCGAACGCGGGGTCCGGGGAGAGCGGATACAGTGAATGCGGGGTCCGGGGAGAGCGGATATAGTGAATGCGGGGTCCGGGGAGAGCGGATATAGCAAATGCGGGGTCCGGGGAGAGCGGATACAGTGAATGCGGGGATGGGGAGAGCGGAAATACAGGTACAGCGGGGTCCGGGGAGAGCGGATATAGTGAATGCGGGGTCCGGGGAGAGCGGATATAGTGAATGCGGGGTCCGGGGAGAGCGGATATAGTGAATGCGGGGGTCCGGGGAGAGCGGATATAGTGAATGCGGGTTCCGGGGAGAGCGGATACAGTGAATGCGGGGTCCGGGGAGACCGGATATAGTGAATGCAGGGTCCGGGGAGAGCGGATACAGTGAATGCGGGGTCCGGGGAGACCGGATATAGTGAATGCGGGGTCTGGGGAGAGCGGATACAGTGAATGCGGGGTCCGGGGAGAGATACAGGAATGCGGAGAGCGGATACAGGGAATGCGGGGTCCGGGGAGAGCGGATACAGGGAATGCGGGGTCCGGGGAGAGCGGATACAGGGAATGCGGGGTCCTGGGGTCCGGGGGGGGGCGGGAATAGGGAATGCGGGCCGGGGGAGACGGTTATGGGGAAAATGGGGGGGGCCCGGGAGAGGGGATAATTAAAGCGGGGATCCGGGGAAGGGGAATAACTGAAAGCTGGCCCCGGGGGGGAAAGCTGGGGAAATACAGGGGAATCGGGGTCCGGGGAGAGCGGAAAATTTTAATGCGGGGTGGGGGTGGAGGGGGAAATCCAGTAATGGGGGTCCGGGGAGAGGGGATATAGTAAATTGGGGGGTCCGGGGAGAGGGATATAGGGGAAATGGGGGGCCCCCGGGGACGGATAAAGGGAATGCGGGGTCCGGGGAGAGGGGAAAAGTGAATGGGCCGGGGTTTAAGGGGGGACCGGTAACCCGAATGTGGGGCCGGGGGAAAGGAAGGGGGGAAAATAATGAATGGGGGGTCCGGGTAAAAGGAAAGGGGCCAAAAATAAAAGGGGTGGGGAATGGGGTTGGGCTCCGGGGAGAGGGGAAAAACAGTGAATGCGGGGGCCCGGGAGACCCGGATACAGGGAATGCGGGGGCCGGGGAGAGGGGATAAACTAAGGGGTTTCCGGGGGAGATTTGTTGGGAAACCGGGAAAAAACCACAATAATAAATAAGGGGGGTAAACGGACTCCCCTTTTCCCGCAGCCTATAAACCTCAAAATTGGCAGATGACAAAAACAAAAAAAAACGATAAAACATAAAAGCCAATTGACTTCCTGAAATCCAAAAACCCCCCCCGAAACATTTAAACCCACTTCCGGCATTCGCGGGACAACAACTAGAGAAAAGAGGGGAAACCATTTTTGGGAAAAGGGGCAATTTGCAAAAGGGGTTAAAGAAAAAAAAAACCCCAAAATTTTTTTTCCCCCTATTCCCCCTCGTCCCGGGCTCCCCCCGGGTGTCCCAATGAACCCTCCTGTTCTCTTTTGTATTTTTCCCTTTTTTGGGTGAAATTGACCCCGGGTTCCCAAAGGGATAGGTGCAAATTCCAAGCGTTTTCTCCCAAACTTTTTGCACCGAAATCAGAAATCCAAACCCCATTCATCCCAAACCGCTGGGGGTGTGTATTTTCCCCCAACCCCCGAAAAAGGGGTCCATAAAAACGAAAGGGGATTTTCAAAGGGGAAATCACATAGGAGGGGGAAAGAAACCCCCTGCGTCCACCCTATGGGGACCCAAAAAAAGGGTTTCCTGCCCAAATTTGGTGCGATTAGAGCCTACAAAATTAAACATTCCAATGGGCACCGCAAACACAATTGAAAGGGAATGCGGGGGCGGTTTCCTGACAAATGGGAAATGCATATTCCGCCCCACCGAGATTTTAACCCGGACTCAGAGTTATAGAAAAAGAAAACACAAAGGTTGGGGTCTAAAAGGGATCAAAACAACAAAAGCCAGTCACATCCCCCAAAAATGCGAAAAAGGCCCGCCAATTGGCCCCAATTTGGTAAAACCTCCCGCTTGGGAAGTTGCAGCACCAAAAAGGGCCCCCAAAAAAAAATAATTTTTCCCCTTCTTTGGGGAAAGTAAATTTTTTGGTTAACCAAAAGCCCTTTCCCCTTCTTGGTAAAATGGGGAAAAAACCTTGGCCCACCGCAAAAATTTTAACAAAAATTTTTCCAAAAAAACCCAAAAATTTTATCAAAATTCCTGCTTTACCTACTTTGGGCGTGAAAAACCAAAAGGCCCCAAAAACCACCCCCCAAACCCCCCCGGGAGTTTTTATCCCAAAGCTCCGTAACCCCCCTGAAATGAAGGGTTTTTTAAAAACTATTTTAAAAATAAAAAAATGAACTTTTCCCAAATTTACGGGAAAAAATGGAATGAAAAACCTTTTTAAAGAAAAAAAAGGGGCTAAAAAAAATAAAAGGTCCCCCCCCCGGCCACCCCCAACCGCCCCAACCCCCCCTCCCCCCCGAATTTTTACCACCCAGCTTTTGCCCCCCGGCAACTTCCCCCCCCCTTATCCGGCATTTTTCCCCCCCCCAACCAACTTTTAGTAACCCCCCCCCCTTATGGAACCCCCCCCCTTTTTTGGGAATTTTTCCAAAAAACCCCCCCCCCTTTAAACCCGGTTTCCACCCAACCCCCCCCCCCCCCGGGTAACAAAACCCCCCCTTACCAATTCCCCCCCCTTATCCCCCCCCCCCAATCCGGGTTTAACCCCCCCCCCCTTTCCAAGTCCGGGAACACCCCCCCCCCCCCCCCCCCCCCCCCCCCCGCCCTCGGGACACTTTCCCCCCCCCACCGCCCCCCCCCCTAAATCCAAACCAAAAGGAAAACAACTTCCCCCCCCCCCTTCCAAATTACATTTTTTCCCCCCCCCCCTTCCCCCCGGGAAACCCTTCCCCCCCCCTCCGTCCGGCCCCTAAAAAAGTTTTACTCCCCCCCCCTTCCAACCCCCCCCCCCCTTGGACCCCCCCCCCCCCCCCCCCCCTTCCGCCGGACATTTTCCCCCCCCCTTCCGCCCGGGACCCCCCCCCCCCCCCCTTCCACCCCGGACACCCCCCCCCCCCCCCCTTTTCCCCCAAAAATTTTTTCCCGGACACCCCCCCCCCCCCCTCCCCCCTTCCAGTCCGGACATTTCCCCCCCCCCCAAAACCCCCCTCCCCCCCCCCCCCTTCCCTTCGGACATTTCCCCCCCCCCCCCTTCCCCCCCCCTTTCCCCCAATTTCCTTGGGCCCACCCCCCCCTTTCCCCAACCCCCCAACCCCCCCCCCCCTTGGACACCCCCCTCCCCATCCACCCCCCCAACTTCCCCCCCCCTCCCCCCCTACCCCCCCCTCCCCTTCCAACCCGGCCCACTTTCCCCCCCCCCCTTCCAAATCTGGACATTTTCCCCCCCCCCCCCCCTTCCCAAAAAGCCCGGGGTTTACCCCCTTCCCCCCCCCCCCCCCCTCCCCTTCCACCCCCGGACATTTCCCCCCCTCCCCCCTTCCAAATTCGGTTCACTTTCCCCCCCCTTCCATCCGGCCCAATTTTTTCAGTTTCAGCGCTATCACCCCTTTAAATGAAAAATTGCGCGGTCATGCAACACTGTACCCCAAAATAAATTTTTTTACATTTTTAATTTTAAAACAGAAAAACTTAAATTTAAGGGGTTTATTTTTTCCCGCGGGAATTTTTATTTTTTTTGCTATGTAAATAAAAATTTCCAAAACTTTTTAAAAAAAAGGGGTTTTTCTAAAAAAGGGTTTGCAAAAAAAAAAAATTTTTTAAGCATTAAAACCCGGGCCAAAATTTTATTCAGAATCTTTTTAAAGAAAAAAAAAAAAAACCCAAAAATTTAAAGTTTAAAAACCCCAAAAATTTAAAAAATTTTAAAAAAAAAATTTTTCCCATTTTAATTTTATTTATTTAAAAATTTTTTTTTACATACTTCACCCTAGCAGTACAGTGTTTTACCCATGGGGGCCCCTACTACGGGGGCTTTTTTTTTTTTTTTTTTTTTTTTACACTGTTTGTTTTTAAACCCCCCCTTTAAAAGGGCCCTTAAAAAAAGCAAACATACTCCTTCTCTCGGGGCGGGCATTTTTTGCAGCCTTTGGGAAAAAACGTGTGACTATTGGTCCCCGCTTTTTCACAGGGTCCCAAGGCTGTTTTTTAAATTTGCCCGAACCAGGAAACCTTTCTTAAATCTTTTCACAGATTTCACAGTAAAAAAACAATGATGTCAGAAGGGGCCCATTTTGGCTTACTACTCTGCAGGGTGATCCCTGTTTGGGCCAACAAAAAAAACCCCAATTAATTTTAAAAAAAATTTACATAATTTTAAATATCCCAAAAGGGGTTTGCCCCCGCGCTGTACAAGGGGGGGAAAAAAAAACTTTGGGCCCCATAAAAACCCAACAACAAACAACCACAAGGGGAAAGGGGGGCCCTACCCCTTACGAGTTTAACAATCTAGGAGATTAGGGGGGAACCCCTCACACAGGGGTCCCTTACGACAAGGGAAAACAAAAAAGGGGCCACTGGACCCCAGTGCCTGCGCCCATCCCCGGGGGGGCTTGCACGGGTCCAAAAAAGGCGGGTGCCGTTTTGTAAAACGGCAACCTGCCCCCTTAAACTCCCAAAGGGTCCACCTTTTATATAGGGGGGGCCCCGGACGGCAGGTGGAAAAGGGCAAAACAAAAATTAACAGCCAGCCGCACTTCCCTTAAAACGGGTAAAAGGCGAAATCATGCAACCTCTACCCAAATTAATTTAAACTATTTTTTTAAACCAAAAAATTTTAAACCCATTTTTTTGGTAAAATTTGATCGAAACCACAAAGATAAATTTCCCTTTTTTCCCTTTTCAAAAACATAATGAAGGAAATTATTCTAACAGGACACAGAGAGAAAAAAATTTGGAGTTTTTAACCCCTTCCCCGTACTCATCCAAAACAAGGTTTTTTTTTTGGGGGTTTTTTAAAATTTTAAAATATATATAGTAAAGGGGAAAATGTGTAATTGGCCCCCCCCCCCTCCCCCCCCCACCGGCCAAAAATGTTCCTCAACCCTCCCCCCACACAGAAAGATGGGTTTTAAACAAGGGAATTTTTTTCGCCCCCTCAAAACAGAAATAAAATCGCTCTAACAAGGGAAAATTTCGCCCCCACACAAAAACCAGGGGGCCCTAAACAAGGGAAAAAAAGGGCCGGAATTTCCCCCTCCAACAAAATAAACGCCCAAACAATGGAATTTTTCCCCCCCCCGGAATCCCCTCAAAAAGGGAATTTTCGCCCCCTTAACAAGGGAAAAAACCCGGAACCCTCACACAAAAAAATGGGTTTTCGGGCTCAAAACCAAAGGAAATGTTTCGCCCCTCACAAACAGAAATGATCGGTCAAACCCCTTAACCCCAAAAACCAAAAGGGAATGTTCCCCCTCACACAAAAAGGATGGGTCAAACAAGGGAAAGTTCGCCCCCCAAAAAGAAAAAACAAAAAAGTTCGGTCTAAAAATGGAATGTTGGGTGTAACACGGGAGAAAAAAAAACCCAACAAAAAAATTTCAGCAAAATGCGTCTAAAAAAAGATGAGGATCGCTTTTTTCCATGGGGGAAAGAAAGGAAAGGGGAAAACCCCTTCCAAAAAAGGACTTAGAAACTTTTGTCCAACCCCTTTGGTTGGGCAAACACAGGGGTTTCCAGACTTTTTCCCTGGGTTTGGCCCCCAGGTTCGCAAAACATTTCAGGGGGGTTTTTGGGCCCCCACCCCCCTTTTGGCAAAATCCCCTCCAAGTCTTTAAAAGGTTTGGGGGTTTACGTTTGGCAACCCGAACTTTCAGTTCCCCCCAAAAATTTTTCATCGGAAAAGGTTTGGAGACGGGCTGGCCCCACCCCAGGACCTTAATTTCTTCGTTTTTTTGAGCCGCCCTTTTTTGCCGGGGGCCGTGTGTTTTGGGCTTTTGTCTTTGCGGAACACCCCCATCCCCACCCCCCAATTTTTTCAATGCCCTGGCTGGGGGGAAAAAAGGTTCTCCCCCCAAGATTTGGGGGGTCCCTTGCCCCCCCTTTGGGGCCCCTTTTGGGATGGGTGCAGTTTGCCCCGCCCCCCTTTAAGCAGAAAAACCCCCCCAAAGCAGAATGTTTTCCAAACCAACCATGTTTCAAAATTTGGATGGTTTTTTGGGGCTTGGGCAGAAAACCCCTCCTCCCCCAAAACCACGGGCGATTTTGTTGCCAAAAGAGCGGGAATTTTGGTCCCCTCTGACCAAAACCATTTCCCAAACCCAGCCCCTCCTCCCCTCATTCAAAAGTTCAGGGGCGTTTTTTCAAAACCGGGCCTGACAAGGGCTTTTTTGAGCGAGGGCCCAAGGGTGGGAAAACTGCGGGATTCAGTCCTTGTCTGGTTGGGGGAAAAAAAAGGGTTTTTTGGGTTTGACGGGGTCCCACTGCCTAAGACTTTGGACAAGATCCCCCCGGGGTAGTTCGGGGATAAACCCCTCACTTTTTCTCATGATCAGGGACACTCCACGATGGTTTCTTGCAGGGTGAAACCAGCCCTAGGGAGATTTGGACACCTTTGTTTGTGTTTTCTTCAAAAAATTATTCCCCCCCATAAACCCAAAAGAAATTTTCCCCACCAAAGGCTGTTTGGCCATATTTGTAACCCCCCCAGCCACCCAAAAAGAGTTTTAGGGCCAAAACCTCGGGGTCCCTGGCCCCCACCTTTGGAAACGCTTTGGGGGGTCCTTTTCCCCATTTTGGTGGGGGGATTAAACCCAAAAAGGGTTACTCCTGGGGACGGGGTTTTTTGTCTTTAAAACCCAAAGTAACACCCCAAAGGAATTAGCAGCCACCCTTTAAAGGAAAACCAAAGCCAACCCCCTTTAAAACCTCAACCGGGCTTGAAAAACCTGTATGAAGACCCCAAAACCTGGGAGAAAAACCCCCCAAAAAAAACCTACCTTGGAAAAATTTGGAAAGGTTTTGGACCCCAAATTCCTTTTTCCCCCTTTTGGGAAACTTTCCAGAATCCGTCTCTTTTTGGGGGGTTAAAACCGAAAATTTCCCGGGTTGGGGGAAAATTTTTGTTGTTTGTATTCCTGGTACAATTTTCCTTTTTAAAACCCCGGGGGGCCAATTTTCCAATTTTGTTGGGGGAACCCGTTTTTTCCGGTTTTTTCTGTGTAAAGGGGCGAAAAATTCCTTTTTTAACCCCGTTTAAATTTCTGTGTGAGGGGGGAAACATTCCATTTTTTAAAACCAATCTTTTTCTGTGTGAGGGCGAACTTTCCAAATTGTTAGACCGATCATTTCGGGTTTGTGAGGGCAAAACATTCCCATTTTGTTAAACCCTTGAAACGTTTCTTTTGGGGGGGGCGAACTTTCCCAAATGTTAGCCCAAACTTTCTGTGGGGAGGGGCAACTTTTCCATTGTTAGACCGACCCTTTTCTTTTTTTGGGGGGCCCGAACATTCACCATCACAGGGGAGCAAATACAAAATTTCCTTCACGTATATAAAAAAAAAAATTATATTTTAATCCAACCCCCCCCCAAAACCCCTTCACCGACCCAAAAATAAACCTCCTTGAACCCCCTTTTTGAAAAAGAAAGCCGAAAAGATCTGGCGCTTGGGGAACCGGGGAAACCTTTCACCCTTCGGCTTATAGGGGGAGCGTCGGGACGAGCGGTGCAGACAGAAATTCCTCCGAGAGCCCGGGGGAGCGGGTTTTTTTAAACCTCGAACTTTGGGTGGGCCATTAACCTGCGAGAAGCCGACACAAAATCACCCGTTTTGGGGGAAAACGGGGTTTTGGATCGCCAATCAGCAATTTAAAGAGGAAGGGGATTTACCAAAGTCGTTCAAAACCCCCCGGCTTGAAAGACTGACCACTCCCCCAGCTTCCACAACGCATCGGGGAAACCCTGAAATAAAACACGCCCCATGGATCACCTCTGCATACCCTTTTTGGGGGTTAAAAATTGTTTGGGTATTGGCTAAAAAAACAATTCAAAAGATCCAATCGGGCACACTCCTAAGGAAGTATTCCTTTTTAACGTGAAAATTTAAAAAAACCGCGCTTTATAAAAAGGGAACCCCCACCAAACCCCCGGGCCAAAAACGGCCCCAATGGGGGAAATAATCCAAATGAAGTTTCCCCCCGGCCTAAAGCCGAAGGCGGGTCAGTATAACGGGGAAAAGGGAAAGGGCAAAACTTTACCCCTTTCTGGAGATTCACCCAACAGAAAAAATTCACTCCAAAAGCTTCCCCAACCCCCATCCTTTGTACCCCCCCCATCGGTTTCATTCGGGCCCTTACCCCCATTCACATGGGCTGCGACTTGGCATCCCCCCTGGATTTGGGAAAACTGAAATGCCAAGTCGCACCCTATTGGTCAGTTTTCATTTGGTAGTTCAGCCTGGGTTCAGAGCCGCACCGTTTTCAAAAGTAGCCCCTTTGTGCTTTTTTTGGACAATTTCATAGATGCTTATCAAATGTCCCAAAACGCACCTAAATCGGCATCTCACCCATTTTAGAAATCTGGGCGACTTCCCCGTAAGCGGTAAATTCGACAATACAGAAATTTTACTGCGAGAGTTATTTACCCTCGCAAAATTCTGTAATGCGCTTTTGCAAAGAGGTTACCGCATGCGTTTTTTTTATTACTGCATTTTCTCAGCTTTTAATTATCTTAGTGAATTGATCCCCAAAGTCCTCTATGGTGATTGTTAGGCGATAGGTTACTCTATATTGAGACATGCAGGTCCAAAAGACCAAGACCGCCATTGGGCAGCACAGTGGCTAAATGGTTAGCACTTCCGCCTGGCAGTACTCGGGTCGTTGGTTCGAATCCCAACCACGGCACCACCTCCTGGAGTTTGCATGTTCTCCCTGTGCCTGCCGTGGGTTTCCTTTGGTACTCTGGTTTTCCTCCCACACTCCAAAG